CTTCTTCAAAACGGACTGGAAATAATTTTACCTATTCTCATAAAATTGTATAGAGCTAGTCTGGCGTGAAACTATATACCACCCAGTTGGTTGGCAGCAAGGGTGGTATATATACCTAAATTGGGTCGGAAAGATCCACACCCTAAATCGGTACGACCAATCAGCCTTACATCCTTCCTGTTGAAAGGACTTGAGAGTATACTGAACGGACACATCAGGAGGATGGCATTATATGCATCCCCCCTGAATAACCACCAGTATGCCGGCAAATCAACAGATTTGGCATTAAACAACCTTGTAAAGAAAATCTCCCAATCCCTTGACAACAAAGAGATTGTGGTTGCTGTATTTCTCGATCTATAGGATCATCTTTGGCTAGAAAAGGTATAGAATCGACCATAACTGGCTGGATCTGTTCCATGCTGGTAAATATAACTACGACTCTTCAAGGCGAGGTCATTAGTTTCAAGGTCACCAGAGGCTGCCCTCAAGGTGGGGTACTATCTTCCCTTCTGTGGTCGCTTCTGATGGATAGTCTGCTTGATGTCCTCAATAGAAGAAAAGTAGATCTGCAAGTTTATACAGATAACCTTGTCATCTTGGCAAGGTCCACGTCGGGAATGGTAGGTTGTAATATCCTCCAGTTGGTGCCTCAGGGAGCAACTGGCCGTCAACCCCAACAAAACTGTGATAATCCCCTTCACCAGGAGGAGGAAACTGGACGTTCTAACGCCACTTTTCCTCAAGGGTGAGTTCATTACATTTGGAATGGAGGTGAAATATCTTGGCATTGTCCTTGATAAAAAACTCACCTGGAACGCTCACTTGTAAAAAGTTTTACACAAAGCCAGACTGTCCCTATGGACATGTCGAAGGATTTGTGGTAAAACTTGGCGTTTGGGTCATAAACAAATCCATTGGATTTATGTGATGATTGTCAGACCAATTATCACTTCGGGAGCAATTGCCTGGAGAGAGGGGCTAGATGAACTGCATATAGACGGAATTGCACATTGCCAATTGCAAAAATCAATTCAATGCAGAGTGCAACAGAGTGTTGGTTGACACTAGAAGTGACAGCATTCTGGAAATGACTTCGGATTTTATGCCTTCAACTGTCAACTACGAACTGTCTTATAAAGTACTGTTCCCGAGTAGAGAGGACTGGATCCTCCAGGAGAAGGAAATATTAAGAGCAGGTAGTTGTTAGTTCACAGATGAATCAAAAACACCTTCCGGTTCCGGTACAGGTGTTTTCAGTCGCAGACCCAGGACAGAGATATCTACATGCCTAGGAACGGAAATTTACGCTATTGAATTGTGTGCGGAGAGATTGGAAGAATCCAAACTCATAGAAAAGTCAATAAGAATATTCTCGGACAGTCAAGCGGCATTGGAATCTCTTGGCTCCTACCTAGCAACGTCTAAATTGGTAGCATATTGCCAAAAAGACTCTCCTCAATAGGAAGACTTGACAGATTGTCTCCGGTATGGTTTCCTGGCCATACTGGCCTGGAAGGCAATGAGGCTGCTGACTCCCTTGCAAAGGAGGGTGCTGCAAGCAGCTTCATGGGACCAGAACCGTAATTGGCATCGCTTTAGGCTTTGCCAAACAAAGATTGAACACCTGTATGGCAAGAAGATGTATCGACTTCTGGCAGAATCTTCCAGGATTGGCTCACTCCAAGGCGTTCATTCATCCTTCGAAGCTTGATACCAAACAGTTGGTGGACTACAGTGGGGATGAACTACGATGTCAAACAGGCCTTCCTACAGGTCACTGTCATTTGAATCATCATATGCAGAGACTCGGACTGTCGGAAGACAGTGTGTGTCGCCTCTGTTTGGAAAATGATGAAACAGCAGAGCACATACTTTGTGCCTACCCCGCTGGCCGAATCATGTTTTTAGAGTTCGGCAGAGCCGTACTCTTACCATTTGACCTAAAAAACCACTCACCATATAAACAACCACTACCACTCACCATATAACTAAGCTTCGTTATCAAGCTGGGTTTATTTGGTTGTGTGTAAATTGATGTGAGCCACAATAAACCCTTGTAGGTTGCGGTGGAGGGTTGAATAGACCCACTTACTTTAGACCTAACCTAACCTCAGCTAAACTGTTGTTTCACTTAACACGACATAACGTCTTAAGTGAAACAAATTCACTCTGCAAGTTGGAGAAATTATGGAATGTGAGCCAAGACATGGTTCTATATTGAGACAATCCATTTGTAACAGAGGCAGGTAGTTTATAAACAGACAAATACCTGAGTAGAGTGACATAAGTATGAAAATCGAGAGCTTTGAAAAACAAAAATAACTGGAGCACTTGGTTTTCCCAATTTTTCAAAACTTCTCCTTTTATCTAAAAATGTCGTCACCCTTAAATCAAGAACCACCGTCCTCCAGGCAAAAAACATTGTTACAGGCAGATCAAGAAGAACTGAAATATCATCATATGAATGGTGCGATTATCCCTAACATCAATGGACTTGATTTTCCCAAGGGTGATGTGTGTAAGAAGTATGTGGCATACCACAGCTGTCCCTCTATTCAAGGATCAACCCAATTCACTTCGAACTACCTTTTTAAGTACTCTACCATTTGGAGGACAACGTTGTTGTGAAACGAGCCGAAGACCTGCAGTGATTCAAATCCAACATGAAACGGCACTTTCGCTAACTCTCCACTCTCAGATTATCCAGAAGTACTTGTGCATCTCCATGAGGACACTGAACATATGTCTACGTTTACCTATCGTGAACAAGTTTTGAGGTGTTTCCGTCATTTTTAAATTATGGACAAGTTCCTAGACTAAAACAATTGATTAGAGAAAACAGCGAGATCTTGTGAACCAATTGTAACACATTGAGAGACAGAGTAAGAGGAGTTGAAAACGAGTTGAGAAATTTCAACTAACAGATTGTAGAATAAGAGTTAACAAGAAATTGAACTAACAGGCTGTCAAACAGAAATGCCAATTCAAGCATACTCACATTGTGAAAACTGAATATGCCCAAAATACTTGAAACAAGTATACCAGAGTTAACCTAGAAGCAAATATCAACAACTAATATATGGGTAAATGTGCTTCGTGATCGGAGAAAAGAAAAATAAATTCTGATAACTCAAGGATAAGATCACATATGAAATGAATCACAATAAAAATTATTATCTGGCGTCTGTTTGAAGCTGCTTAAAAAATGAGAGTTTTCAAGATGGTGTAGTTATTAGAGATTGCTTTCAGTAAAATGTAACAGCTCAGACGAGCAGATGATCTTAAGCATCAACGGGACTCTGCTATGAATACAACTATAATTGTGACATTGAAGATTTATATAAACAGTGAACCTCCAAGAGAGATCCTACTACCAGGTGTAATATCTTTCAGGAACCCTCTCCAACCAGTGGACATTCTTGGATCCTTTGCAGATGCTGACAATGGCACAAATATCTGATGAAGATAATGAACTATTTTTCCAAATGGCAACAGCTTGTTGAAATTCTAAATCAAGAATCTGGCACACAGAGGCAGGCATTTCTCGACAATATATTTGACAGACATGCATACTCTTGGAACTGATTTCTGACTATCAACGGAATTTGGATCAGGAATCATCAAGAACCAACACTAATGAAATGATCATGAGCCAATATTTGTCTATTTCTTCGTTTATGTACGAGAGCTGTCGATGAAGTAACTGATTTATTTACAGTTGGATGGAAGAGCAATCTCTGCGATGATTTATCATACACAGATATTGAATCCTGCCATTTGATTGGTTGTAATTGTACGGAACCATCAATAAGAGCCATTTATTATCATCATCTTCTTTTGTAACTGACAAAATTAGACGGATGGGAAAAGCACGTCCAGTTCGTTGAGAAAATCGAGAGCAACAGAATCAAATGAATGAATTCACGAGAAGAAGGCTTCAGATAATCAAAGACTGGATGAAATGTTGGACAGAAACTTTACAAACACAGGGTATTTTCGAGTAGATGCTGTGTAGTTAAACCAACGCAAGAGACAAAGGAGATTTTGCTCCAAGCTGCACAGAAGATGGAATCATGAAAATAAATGGCTTGATCTATTGGATCCAACTAACTTTAAAGACCATCGTAGAGTGAAAAAAGCAACCAAAAAAGTGAAGTGATCAAGTTAAATAAATGTATTGTGTTTTCAAAATGATATTTGTTGAGTCTAAAGCATAAACAGCCTTAAGCATAACGGAGAAAATATTGGCATTATTGGAGAGGCTTTGACGTGACATCCACAGAGGTTTTTCCAGATATAAATAAAAAGAAAAATAATCTGAAACAAGTATTTTTCTCAGAAGACTATTAATAACACAAAATCGCATTTTTTTTACAAGTTTCTACACCAAACATTTTCCCATTTGTTGAACTCATACTGTGCTACAGGATAATTCTACGTTTCAGTAGATTCAACATGATTCAATTCCCTTTATGAATATTTGGAGTAAAAACGACCAAAGAAATGAGGATTCAAATATATTTCAATATCTGTGGGATAAATAGGTGTTTTGAATGGACTTTTTTGTTCTAATGTAAATGTCCTACATAGTTTTCACTGATATACTTTCAACTTTACAATAGTTTTTTCCAAACTCAAATCTCTTCCAGAAAAGATGAAGTTTTTGACGTGATATGGATTAATTTAAATACATAATTCCAATTCATTCGTTCACAATGTATTATAAGTTCAACTTGGTCAAATTTCTTAATTGTGAATAACGTTATCATTTGTGATTGAAGTCGCTCTTTTTTTCTTCAGAATTTTATTGTTTGTACTGAATGAAGAGAAACAAACATAGTCGAATGCTTTTCACAATGAAATTCTTCAAAACGATACATAATTGATCAGTTACTCCTCTACCAAATCATGATATTAGTTATAGTAATGCTTTCATTTGCAAAAATTTTCATTTGTCAAGAACAATTTGTTACTGAGCGATGATATTCGGAGACAAGATCATATGAAGATTTCTATAAAACTGTTGCATTTCCTTGCATTGCATTGATAGTATATAATATCACAAAATTTCCCCAGCTCTAATATCATTTCAGATTGTGCCATTACATATAAATTTTCGCCAGTAAGTTCAGCAATTTAACTTCATTCGACCATAATTATATGCAACATATTCCACAATCGTTCAGCAAATTGCATTTGGTATCTCAACAAAACTATTGTTCTTGTTCTCTACATATTGGATTCAAGTATGAAGGAAGTGAACATTTTTAATCAATCAACTTACTCTCTGCTGCTCTCTCCTCTGCTCTGGCTTTCATCCTGATTATGAATGCAGCACCTTTGTTTTTTCTAAAGTTTTCATATGGATCGTTCAGGTTGCATCCCACCCCTTTAAACTGGTCTTGTCTATCGCGAACGTCTCCCCCCGAAATCGGAGCGTCTATGCCTTGTTCGTTTGCCCCGAGGCCACTACCGCCCCAACCCATTTTCTTCAGCATCTGATGGCCCTTGTTGGAAGCATCCAGTTCTTGGATAGCATTTTGCATTAAATTAACGTTACTAGAATGATAAAAATATGTTGGAATATAAGTGTGATGCAGAAGATATTATATAATAAATTCAATTTCGACTCTTGAATTTAAAAAAAAATCATTTTAGAAACCATAATAAGAGTGATATCATCGAAAATAATTGTTCGAGCATAAATGATAGTGAAAAATGTACAATCAATTGAAAATTTCACTTGCTTTTACACTAAATAATTTCAATACTATTCTTGATAATAATTGTACAATTTTCACAATAAAGATTTTATTTAAGACGTGTTTCGCTACACAGTAGCTTTATCAGTTGGACTGGCGATGATAGTAATAAGGTTCTATTTATCGCTGGAGACTTTAATATAGAATTGGAAGAGGAGAATAAGATAAAATCAGATTTGCTAACACTGACTCAGTGTTTTGATATTCACAAAACAATAAATGACTATACACATATAACTCCAACCACAAAGAGTTGTATAGACAACATACTTACAAATTATACAGGAACTTATGGGGCAAAAGTTATAGACATTCACATTTGTGATCACAAAGCTCAAATATTAACGTGGGAAATGGCAAATAAAATAAAAAGATACACCATCATGCTTTTAGAAGAATTATCTCTAAAGATAAGATGATCGAATTTAGTAACAAACTTAATACATCAACTTGGGATGATAGATCAGAGGTTGATCAAAAATGGAATACTTTTATGAAAAATTTCATGATATTATTAGGTATGTTACTACTAGGAATAAGAATATTAAATATTTCAACAATAATGAAATTGCTGAATCGAATATGTGAATAATAAATTAAGTCGGCGCCAATATAATGAGGTGAAAATAGAATATGATAATCGCTTGAGAAAATTTAAAGAAGATGAATATTTGAACAGAATAAAGGCTTCTGATAATAAAAATAAATGTATGTGGACAATATGCTCGGAATTGAAAGGAAGAGAAAAAAAATCCGAATGTAAACTACAAGGGTATCCAGAAAAAATTGTGAATGACTATAACAAATGCTTGATTAAAATTGTTCCAGAATTAATATCAAACCTCCCAAATATTCCTTTCGAATGTTCAATAAAATATAATTTTGAGTCAACGTTAGCAAAGCCAATATCTCCTCAAGAGGTAATAGAACTATCACACAAAGTTAAAAATAAACTCTCTAGTGGGTACGATGAAATTCCCACTTCTTTGATGAAAATAAGCATAAGTGAAATTATATCATATATCATAAAAAACTCCATGAAATTTGGCATCTTTCCTTCCAGACTGAAACTATTCCTAGTGAAACCTATTTATAAAAAGGAGGATTCTGAACTTATGGAAAACCATCGACCTATGAATATTCTACCAAGTTTTGCAAAATTATTTGAGTTAGCTAACATTACAAATTTTCTATATAAATGTAATATAATTAGCAATAACCAACACGGATACTTACGAGAGAGATCAACAAACAGTGCAATATTTCAATTTACTCAAAATATAACAAACTTAATGGAAAGAAAATACTTAGCATTTGGTATGTTCTTAGATCTGTCAAAGGCATTTGACTGCTTGAATCACGAGATGCTTATAAAAAAAACTAGAATTAAATGGTATAAGAGGAAACTCACTGAAATGCACCTAACAGATCGCAAACAAATAGTAACTATTAACTAACATGGTCGAACATACAAATCTGAGAATGCGGCAGTGAAAGTAGGAATACCCCAAGGAAGCATTGCAGGCCCCTTGTTATTTATTATCTACATAAACGATTTATGTTATCATTCAAACACACACAATTCAATTAGTCTTTGTTGATGACACTAATTTATTAATATCCCGTGAAACATACCCTGAAGTAGTAAAAACAAGTATGGAAACGTTTAATGATACAAAAGAATGGTTCACTAGAAATAATCCACAACTCGATGAAGCTATTATATAGCGAAACAAGTGTTTCAGTTTTGTAAACTGTCTAGTGAAAATCTCACAATAAAGTAATACTTGAATTCTTTTTTGTTTCAACTAGTTGGCTTGTAGCTGAAGCTGCAGAGACAGAGGACGAATCTTGTTCAGCTGCCAATATCAAGGCTTGACTTTGAAATGAGCTGCCTTCAACAGCCTTGTTTATCTTTAATACTCATGGTTTGAGTCTTTTGTCGACCCTACAAATGGCGTCATCATGAGGGGAGATGCCATGCTTACTTACACCCAAGCTTGTCCTTTAAGAACATTTGAGCCTAACAATGCATTCGCGATTCAGCCTAGCACCACCGACTTGAAGTAGGTCAACAAAGCGCTGTCTGGTATTAGATTATGAATGCTTCAGATTCAACTAGTTGCTGTGTAGTGAAAGCTAAAAAACGACCACTGCAAGGAGCCTCTTTTATCTTTGTCTTCTGTATTGTCTTCTGTGGATCCCACAAATAGAGTGTCTTCACACGGGAAGATGTCCCTACTCCAGCTTGTCATTTAAAGTCAGTTAAGCTCAACAACGCATTTGTGGTTCAGTCTAGCAGAGACAGACAGATGACAAATCTTGTTAGGCAGTCAATGTTGAAGCTTGGTTCTGCAAGCCATATTTACCATTGAAATTCGTGGATTCACTATTCCGTTGACCCCTTAGCGTCAAGGGAAAATATACATGCTCGCTTAACCTATTCATAGGTTACTTGTAGACTGATATCTGACATAACTCATATTTAGCTCGGTAATAAATTTATCATATGAATGAATGACATTTAAAGAAGGAAATAAACGTTTGACAAATCTGGAAGCTCTGTTTCATATGCCTCTTGATTCACTAACTTCAATATGGTAAATTTTTTTCAATTTCAAGTTACCTAATATACCTTCTTGAAATATGACATCAGCTCTTAGGCTATAAAGACATTGTTAGAACATATTCTCAGAGAAAAAATTTCTTTATTTGCTACGTCTATGAAAATGTACTCTACATTTTTATTACTGATTGTCAGGTAAATCATTATTCAACGAAATGAAGTTCTGATATTATTAGAAGATGGTGATCAAACAAGAACACAGAAGCAGGTATGAGTTACTTATGGACTGCTCTGTATAATTACACTATTTCTGTATGAAATAGTTCTACATTGCTTTCCATCACGTCTTAAAATAATCTTTACTGAAAAAAAAAAACAAGTATCACTCACCTAAAGCTAGTGTGCGGTGGTGAGATAGATCTCCTGACTGGTGACCTAGTCCTAGAAGTGGACCTACTTCTTCGTCTTCTACTTTCTCGTCCATCCCTTCTCGAATCTCGATCCCTCTCATTTCTATGTCTCCTTCTAGGGCTCCTAGATCTAGATCTCGATCTACTCCTAGACCTTGACCTGCTTCTGGATCTTTTAGTGCTTCGATGGGAAGTGACAGGAGGAGGTGTAGGAGATTTACTTCGATACCTCCTTTTAGGTGGAGGAAGTTCTTTCTCACAAGGCAGCTCTATTGGGCTAGGGCTCCTTGATTTTTGTCTAAGGCCCGCCTCTATCATGTCTTCTTTTTCTTTTTTGGCTATGTTTTTAGCCTTGTAGTATTCATACAAACCTAGTTTTTCCCAACCTTCGCTGTATTTTTCAAACATGATACAACAATTTATAAGAACTTTCACATTGCAAATCAATCCAGTAATAAAATGTATGTACATAAAAAAGAAAATCAGGACTCTCAATTGGAATTTAGGTCAATAAAAGCTGATAATATTGAATGTATGTGTGCTCATCTTCAGTTTCATCCAATAATACTGTATATTGCCTAATTCAATTCAAGCATATTGCCTAATTAAAGCAGTCAGATAGCAAAATATGACCTTGTCCATGTATTTCAAGGATAGTACATTTATTATTTATGGCAAAGCAAAGGGATGTGTGATGATGAATGAAAATCATAACTGTGAAGAGACTTTTCTCAGTACACGTTTAATCAACCATTTTGGCATTATAAAGAAGTGATCCAAGCTAATTTCTAGAAATGACAATATGGTTGGCGATATATAGGATAGTTGAAATGCTTTCACAGTTCTGGTGTGTGTTAAAAGTATTTTCATTAGTTTTGTTATATGACACGGTGTTGCAAATCTACCTATTGATATTTAGAATTCCTCGTAGTGCTCCATCGTTAACTCTATGAACACCACTCTCTTCACTAGCATTTTAGGATTCCAAAATTACTATAAACAACAATATTTTACAAGTAAAAATTTCTCCGAAGATCATCTGATCCTCACAGTTAAAATGTTATGCATGATTATTATCTGCCACAAATAAAATACTGAAGATAGTATGAAACCTGGACTATTTGATTAATTAAATGAATATTTAATTTTTTTGGCAGAAGCACACAGTTTATCTTTGAAAACAGTTAAAACTATTACATATTCGACCACATTTTAAGACAAAATTTGGGAAAATTATGAAAAGTAATCTTCTTGATGATTATTTACACTAATTTGGCAGTTATTTACAGTTTATAGTGGCAGTCTTCTATAGTTTTCCTATTTTTACACGAAATAATACCACAATTTTAATACATCATGGCACTTGGAATAACTTATTAATAATAACATTCATAAATAACAGTTTGAAAACTAAAAAAACACACTTTAATAGCAACACAAACTAAAAAATTAAAATAATTCGGATTGTGTNTGGTAGAGAGTAGAAAGCCTCAACAGCTGCCAGCAGTCGTTCACTTGGAGGGGCTGGTGGGGGCAACCTAATATCTTTAGGATCTAACGGTTTATATGATGTTTCTTCCAACTAGAATAAGTGTGTCAAAATACCATTACGAATTCCAGAGTAAGAAATCATTCTACATTATAAGTTGCAACATAAAAGACATTGTATGAATTTTTTGTTCAGAATAGATGTGACTTCAATAAAAAAACACAACTTTCCATCCAGAATTATGGACGGAATGCTGACATCACACGTTTCTCAACAATTGTTTTGTGGAACTTGATTCTGAATTTGTAACCGGGATCCTGAATTCAAAAGTTTTTGGCTTTCAACTTCTCCATCTTTATCCAAAAAAGTGTGGGAATTTTCGAAAGAAAGGAAGAAAGCAATGAATTTCAACATATATTTACAAAGATGTATACTCAAGATGTAGTAATGGTGTAGTTATGAATATTACTGGGGTTTTATCCCAACATCAAAAGATTATTTTTAACACCTCGACACGTGTTTCGATAACCAAGTGATCATCTTCAAAAGGAATATTAAACTAAATATACATACAATGTTGCGTCTTACTTGTCTTAAATTAATTTTACAATGTTGCCTTATCTACTAGTCTTAAATCAACTTCACAATGTGGCCAGGTAAATCTGATGAATAAAATATTATTTCAAGAAGCTATATTAGGTATTGGTCCACCATCGTTATTCATAATATTATTATGTTTACTTATTTCTACACTCTCGTAGGCATCTAGATTATTCTAGATGCCTGTTGTTGTTAACTTATCTAACTAATTTTAATGAACTAAAGTCTATAGAATGGTTTTGTTGCAAAACATGATGGGCGACTGCTGATTTTTCTGGTCTTCCACATTGTAGGTATGCTAAGTGTTCCTTATATCTTATTTTGATAGATCTTTTAGTCTGTCCAAAATATTTTGCATCACAGTCCTTACCTATATTCAATTTCGTAAATTCCAGACTTTTCCGAATTCTCGACTTTGTCCTTTCGATTCCCTAAAAGGCTCTGTACTGTAAGACTTGTTTTAAATACTACCTTCATACCTAGTTCCTTGAAAATGTTTTACAAAGTTCTTCGTGTATTGGTGGTATGGAACTGAGATATATTTATTTTAGTTTTCGTCGTTTCCAAAAGCTGAGATTTCGTTCATTCTTAACCTGAACTTTTTCTTCCTCTTCCTACTATATAGCTTGTTGAAATAATATTTTAATAAAACAACGATAAAAATGAAAACAACAATAAAAATTTATTGGCGCTCCGGGGCGACTTCATTGATTCCAGTGGCGCATTTGCTTTTTCAGCTGCAGAAAAACCCGGAAAAACCTGCAGCACCACATCATCTGAAGATCTTGATCTGCCAATGTTCTCTCTCTCATAAAACAAAATGTAGGGTGTCTCCAGAGGCTCCAATACATCGCCAGAACACTTCGTGACACGACTATCGTGTAACTTAAACCAGTTTGTTTCGTCTTTGACCAAGGCGTAATAATGACAATGACTGCATGAATATTATAACAGTGGTCTGTTAGATTGAAATGTTCATCTATTTCGAACCTTCGAATGAGTTTCTTGCTTCCGTCAGAGGTTGAATCTTGTTTGAAGATCATCAGTGTTATTATTAGATTGACTGGTGCCTCAGCTATACTTGTTTTCTTATAACAGTCAGGTAGTTTGGCGCATGTTTGACAATACAGTCGATCATCACCTGTTAAAAATTCCATTTTCAGATGATTCAACAATAACCTTTGCACGTACTGGTTATTAGTCATATTAGGAAACGTTAGATGAAGTTCCAGAAATTCACATAAGTTTTCGCTACCTCTTGAACATTTACTACGAAGTAAAAAAGTGAGGATTTTTCCAGCAAAAGATTTACAAAAACAAGACGAGATGGACTGAACGGAATCATTCAATCCAGAGCGGTCAGGAGTATTGATTTTGCTATTGTTTTGCTCACGAAGAGTATTCAACAAGAACCGCTAGAATTCGGAACAATCATTTTGTTGTCCTAAGGAGTATTTAGTGGACTTCAAAGACTCCAGAAAATCGGTTGGAGGGAAAGATGATACATTCCTACGAAACTGCAGCTGCATGAACAGGTGTTTGAATTTGATGAATAAGTAGGAAACATTCCCGTTCTCGTTCATCATTAAAACCTCGTTCTAGAAATTCTTCGTCATGAACAACACTTGTAAAATGTAAAATTATAAGATTTACCTGGCTACATGGTGAAATTAATTCAAGACTAGTAGATAAAACAACAATGTAAATTTAATTCAAGACAATCAAGACGCAGGAACCTAGCAGAGGTATCTATGGTATGAATAAGGATAACATTGTATGTATATTTATTTTAATCTTCCTCTTGAAGATGATCTCTTGATGATCGAAACACGTGTCGAGGTGTAAAAATTACGGTTTGATGTTGGGATAAAGATGTGTAGATCATGATATCTGATTCAATTTCATTACGGATGTTTGGAGTACAAACTAAATAGGAAAAATGTTTTTTGTGTAATTCAATATTTATATGAAAGTAGCTGTTCCAGCAGGGCTTTTCCTTCCAGTTTGTGTCTGAAAGTTACTTCTTTTCATGATCTATTACATATCTTTGTAAAGGGCTTATTTTAAAATGAATTGCTTTCTTCGTTTCTCAGATAGATTCTCGCACTTTTTTTGTATAAAGATTGAGAAGTAGAATGCCAAAACCTTTCTTACCCATACCATACAGAGAATGTTTAAAACTCGGAATTAACATGTTATTTTCATAACCTAATGTAACCTGATCGTTTAATTTCGACCTTCAACTCAGAATTCTGAGTTTGAAGTTGGAATTCCGAGTTTGAAGTCGGAATTCCGAGTTTGAAGCCGGAATTCCGAGTTTGAAGCCGGAATTCCGAGTTTGAAGCCGGAATTCCGAGTTTGATGCCGGAATTCCGAGTTTGAAGTCGGAATTCCGAGTTTGAAGCCGGAATTCCGGGTTTGAAGCCGGAATTCCGAGTTTGAAGCCGGAATTCCTAGGTTGAAGCCGGAATTTCGAGTTTGAAGCCGGAATTACGAGTTTGAAGCCGGAATTCCGAGTTTGAAGCCGGAATTCCGAGTTTGAAGCCGGAATTCCAAGTTTGAAGTCGGAATTCCAAGTTTGAAGTCGGAATTCCGAGTTTGAAGTTGGAATCCCAAATTTCAAAGTTTGAATTCCGAGTTGAAAGTCAAAATTATAAAAAAATAAAGTTAGAGTGACCTGACCTTTCTAGGCTTTTGTAATTTTGGATGTACTATAATAATGTTTAGAAAATATCGACGTGACGTCGTCACATGATAACATGTTATAAGCTTTTTGAACAAGAGATAACAGCTTGAAGGATAATCAAGACAAAATAGTTCAGAATTCGACAGAACCGACAAGGTTAGAAACGATAGTAACACGATAAATAATTGTAAAGTGCAATTAAAGTATAAAGTGTTCTATTGTAATTTTGAATAATTGAATACCGAGAAAAGTATCAAATCAAGAAGAGTATTTTCATGCATAAATGCAATACTTTTTCGTATAATCAATGTATAAAAGGTTCAAGAGGAAGGAAAAATCAAGACTGCATATAATCCTGGTTTCAAATTTCAAAATCAATTCAAAACTTTTTACGTCTGATTGTAGTTACTCGATTAATGAAAAATTGGCATATCCAAAAGTACCAGCTTGTCAGGACGACTATTATAGTATTTGTTGTGGCGCTGAAGATAACCTCACTAAATTCCTTTTCAGCTGCAGAACATGGAATAATCAAGAAAAAAAATCAACATCATGAAGAAATCACAAAATGTTCACTCAATATAACTTTAATTCTGCTTACTGAAGATCATTTTTGTGCAGACTTTTCAGATCTCGAAAACATGAATAAAATAAACTCATTTGTTACAGTGGTAATGAGTTAAGTTGAACCTCTGTAGCATAGAATACCTAACAACTGTTAGAAGTTTTGAGATCTATCAATACAAATGGCTTCGCATGAACTTCTCTACATTTCATCATGCGATTAAAAATATTAACTATCCAAGATGGGAACTTGTAAACAATAACGTTGCTTGTCCACTAAATTTTCGTTTGACGAAACTGTAAAAAAATGTTGATCAACAAAAATAGAAAGAACGGGAAACCATATATGTCTCAGCTGCAAAGTTTTTGAGCTTCTGAAATATTTTTCAAAGAATAAATGTTCCACTCCACCTTTTTGTCTTGATTATTAAATATAATAATCCACGTAAATGTTAAAACATGTTGTAAAAACAAAGCAATACTGTAAATCCATGAAATGTGTATGCATTTTCTCTCTCTACTTTGGATTTATTCAGTTATAGAATCAAGAAACCATGATGATTTCGATCACAATTCATATCCAAGTTTTTGAACAACTCAACTTTTGTAGACAATAAAAACAATTTTAATGTATTCTTTATACCTTAAATTTCCAAAGACGAATAATCAACAACTATGTGGTAGAGATATGGGTCGCCCTGTTTTATCAATCCTAAGTAACATTATATTTGACATTTTGGAAATCACTTTATGGAAACTTACCAGAATAGTCCAAAAATATGGTTGAGACGTAAAGATGATAATTCTGCTGTAGGAAGTTGATGGCCAAAGCGGTTTGACTTATTTTTCAATCCTTATCATCAAAATGACCAAATCCGAATTAGAATTACAAAAAAAGGGGACACTAATTGTGTTTATCTTAAGAGAGATAAGTAGATATCCTACTGAAGAAGGATGAAACAAATATAGAAGCCATGGCACAATAAAAACTATAATTTATACACTTTCTCAGAATTCAGATTGCTTCCGTTAACTGACCTACATATAAATTATACTTTACTTGGATAATATGTGCAGTGTACATGAAATCCTCAGCTCCAAAATATTGAAATAACTTTTTGAGACTATCGGTCACGTTATATTGCACCTTATCAACACCTCTCTTGAATCTGGCCAAATACCTCAAAGACTGAAAAGTAGTACTATTGTTGCGATACCCAAAAGTCCTCATACTATTAAAGCT